TATATATATATAAAGAAATTTTACTTTTGAAATCCCGAGTCATCTCTTCTTGGCTATATTCCCCTTTACAGTATTGATAATCTGACTTTATATATAAAAAAAAAATTTGCATTCGTAACTAATTAAAATTTATGACAGTTTTGATTTTTTAATTACTATAAAAGCATTAAAAAGTGTAATAAACTTATCATGGTGCTTTAGGCATCTCCTTTGTTAAAACTTAGCTTTCTTTTTCCTCTTATCTGAAAAAGAAAAACTTTTCATACATGATATATTGTAATTGAATAACTGTGTAAAATTTATAATATTTATATAACTAATAAAAAATTATGATAAATATTATTTTGCATAATTTTTATTTTTTAAGTTAGTTATAGTAAAAGTAAGTATTATTAATAACTTTAGTTTGAAGTTACTTTTCGCACATCAACAAATATTTGTGTGGTCCTCTCAGGAGTCTTTTTTTAATCCACCAATCACGCTCGCAGTACTATATAAAATTGAAGGATTTTTGCATACGAAGAGTGTTCTCCAAGTATTAGCATGACATCAAACTACTACTACATTAACCGATCGAGTTATGCAAACAAAAATACTTTTATAGGTTTAAATTGTTTATATAGACGTGATAACAATTTATACAACATCACATGATGTGTTCTATCTCTCTATTGTTTATTGCATTTCACTTTTTTTTTCTCTTAATTAAAAATTTTGATATAAATAATATTTATCTTTATCCTATATGCTAAATTATCCGTGGTCTTTTAATTTATATACTTTAGTTCCTCTATTACTAAAAGGTTAAATATGGTTATATATATGATGTTTGAAAGAGATAGATACTCAAAGAAAATTCTTTTATAGCAAACGATATTATACAAGCTTTATATCTTAAAACACTTGATGCCTTACAAGAGAGGAGATCTTCCCCTTATATAGGCAAACTCTCCCTTACTAAATTACAACTGAGGGCTTTTAAACTCCTCGTTATTGAAGGGTAGGATTGGAAAACAAAAAATAGTATAATAATTTACATAAAGTAAGACTTCAGAAGATAAGGAATCTTAAAAAGTCTTTTGTCGTCTTGTAGAGCTAGCAAATAACTTTTCTTGAAATGGCAGACCATATTTTTGAAGTTTTGTTTTGATGCGTCGGCAAAAGAGATAGTTGTCTAAATGCGTCAGCAAGTAATCAATTCTTCTTTTGACTAATCAAACATATCTTCATTTCGAAGATAAGGGTTAGTTGAAACAGAATCTGAGGATCCAGTTTCTTCTTGAACTAAACCATCTTGTAGTGCATGAATAAGGCGAAGCCTTTCTTCAAATTCTTCTTGAGAACCAGCAGATGCTAGTTCTGCCATAATTCTACTTTTGTTTGCTAAAAATTGAGAATCTTTAGCAGTTCTTTTCTTTTTCTCATTTTCTTTGATTAATGGGGCATTGGACTTTACCCAGTCATCTAATCTTTTTTTGCTTAATAAATAAAGATCAAATTTTTTCCACCATTTGACCTTAATGCATCTTGTCAGAATTTTTATTAGTAACTCATCATATGGGCTTCTGAGAAGATAGTCCCATGAAACTATCTGTCGCAACCGAGATCGCGATGGGACGACAAAAAATAAATTGAAAAAGAGGAGTCGCCATCAATGTTATTTTTTACGAAAAAATATTGGAAAAACCATAAAATAGAAAATAGTCTACGAAAACCAATTTTTTTAGTTCAGGAGTCGATTACATGTGAGGAAGGTATTAGCACCTTACAACGTTCGTCCTATGATAGTTACCTTTAATTAATTAAACTAATTATTTATAATTTATAAAATAATTATCTCACTAAAATGATCAAATATATTTTATTTAACTAAACTATCATTGTATATATATATATATA